TTTCATGTTGTCCCATGATTCCTGGAGGTTCTATTCATGGTTTCTTACTATCTTCACTGTGTAGTCAACTTTATTTTCAAAGTTTATTTTATTTATTTTGTCTTCATTGCCTGAGATTCTGCCTTCCAAGTGATATAATCTGTTGATGATGCTTTCTATTAATTTTTTTACTTCCTTCCTTTTACCAATTTTTGATTTTTTTTCCTTCAGAATCTCAATCTTGTTCTTGAAGTAATCTTTTTTAAAAATCTTTATTTTATTTATTTTTTATGTGGTGCTGAGAATTGAACCCAGTGCCTCACACATGCGAGGCAAGTGCCCAAACATTGAGCTTACATTCCTAGCCCTTGAAGTAATCTTTTGCTCTTATCTCTTTGTTGGAGTGATCAATTGTTTCTGTATTTGTTCTCTTATATCATACTTTGCTTTGCAGATCATTTTAATTATGTACGTTTTGAACTCCTTCTCTGACATGTCACCTACAGTGCTGTCAATATAGTCCATTATTGTAGCATCTTGGTTTGTTTGGGGCACTTTCTTTCCTTATTTTTTCTTGGTGTCCATGTGCCATCCTCTCCAGCAGTGCGAATCAAAGGTATTATACATTCTATCCTATAATCTTGTGGTGTACCTGCAGGTTACCAATACCTTTCCTTTAAGGGGGAGATAAATATTTACGCCACCCAATTCAAACAATATGCAGCTTTAAACCAAATAACTCCTATTTGGACAATTATAGTTTTGTTGTAATAAACAGAAATGTATTTGATTAATATTTACAATATAAATCATAGGTTTGCATAAGAGTCTACAGATTTTTTAATATTTATTGTTTAGTTTTCGGTGGACACAACATCTTTATTTTATTTGTATGTGGTGCTGAGGATCGAACCCAGCACCACGTACATGCCAGGTGAGCGCGCTACCACTTGAGCCACATTCCCAGCCCTTAATCTATAGTTTTTAATGGTGGACAAAGAGAGCAGGGGGTGTAGGATGTGAGGTTTATGAGGTAGGAGTGAGATTACAGAGGTATTAGATCATACGAAGAGTAAAAGAGGAATCATGAGAAGTAGGCTAACAGGGATACCTTTCTTGCAATCAAGCCTGCAGCATCCTTGGTGATAGTGTACCAGGTCCTCGCAGTTGTCTCCAGATAAAAACAGCCATGTTCCTAGTTGGTGGCAGTAGAAGCATCTAATCTGTTGATATGTTGGTGTTAGGCTTCCAGGCCCTACCTGGTGTCCTAAGTTGGAAGCTGCCCCAAGTAAAGATGGTGGTTGTGTTGGTGGAGGTGTCCCAAGATGGAGGTGACCACTTTCAGAGATGGGGCTGAGAGGGCAAGCCATGCTGTGGAATTGGGAAACCTGTTCAGAGATGCAAAGCCGTGGTGTACAGTGCTGCAGTGGGCTGCTACCTCCAGGCCCAAGGTGGAGGACAATATGTGTGGAGGGGCTTTTGAGAGGCCTGCAGTGTCCCAAGATGGAAGTGGGTTAGGGGAGCCATTCATTGGGAGATGGGATACTGCAGCAAGTTGCTCTCCTCTGTGTGGGTGCAGTTGTTCGTAAGATTTCCATCTTGAAGCCACTATCATGTTTGCTTTCCTAACCAAATGAAAATTTAATGGTTACTTTAGCAAATCTTGGGGGCCATAAGGAAGTGTGGACTATGTTTGCCTGAGATAGGAATTTGGAATACAAAGAAGATATGCTGAGTCTCAAAGTAGAAGGCTCATAAATCACTACAGTATAGGAAATGCCAAAAAAAAAAAAAAAAAAAATGACATTAAAAACAAGCAACTCCTAAACAATCCAGAATTCTTGGTAGGCCAGAATTCTGGCTCACAAAATACTAACCTGATAACCAGTCTATAAGAAACCCATGGAAAAACTAGTGTAAAATCATGTATTTCTGCTCCAACTGTACCTTTGATCCAGCCCCACCCCACCATGTCCCACTATGAATAACACACCAAAACAGTGGTTTGCTCTATCTCCCTTGAAGATGTTTCACATTTTCCTTAAATGTGTACCCGCTCTCCTAAATAGATATGACCATATCTCTGATTGACAAATGCTGGAAGTCTGTTCTGCCATGCACACTAAAGTTCCCACTTTTTCCTAGTTGATCTCCCTCTCTCCCTCTCTCTCCCTCCCTCCCTCTCTCCCTCTCTCCCTCTCTCTCCCTCCCTCCCTCCTTCCCCCTTTTCTTTCTTTCTCCCTCCCTTTCAGGCATCTCCATTATATTACCTCATATAGCAAGATTTAGATTTTTAACACTAGAATTGTGGGGGTTTTTAATAGTTTGGGGTCTGACATCACATATATCAACAGGGGGAGAAAACCAGCAGCTATGGGAATTAAAAAAAAAAAAAAAACCTGGCAAGGGACCAGATTTGATGGCACATGCCTGTAAGTTCAAGTATTTGGAAGGCTAATTATGACTAATTTCAAGTTTGAGGACAGTCTTGACATCTTAGCAAAACACTGCCTCGAAATTGAAAAATAAAAATGGCTGGATAGAGAAATGAATAAATAAATAAATGATAAGGTTGAGCCTCATCTTGGAGAAAGACCTGAATCTCTAAACTACAAGAATAACCCATGGGAAATAATTAAAGATTTTCAGAAGGAGAATGATATTTTGGACATAATTACAAAATCACTCACACAATTAAAAAAAAAAAAAATTACATAAACCAAAAAGCTGATGCACAACAAAAGAAAAAGCCCAGAGGGGAGAGAAAGAGTATAAAAGAGTATAAAACTGGAGCAAATCTAGTCATTCTATGCAAGACTTATACACAAGTTATGTCAAGAACTTAAAAATCTTTACACCATAAACAATACAATTCAAAAGGGGGCAAAGCATCTAAGTAGACAGGTCTCAAAAGAAGAAATGCAAAGTTTCAGTAAATATACAGAAAAAATGCTCTATATAATTAGCCTTCAGGGAAATGCCAATCAAAAATATAATTAGTTATCATCTCATCCCCATTAGAATGAATAATTTGAAAAAGTAGCAGTGTGATATGGAGAAAAATGAACTCTCATGCACCTTTGTGTGCATATAAATTAGTGCAGCCAGTGACTCAGATTATTGCTCTGGAGTCGAATGATCCCTAGCATTGTGGTAAAAGCACAGATCAATCTGAGGGCACCTTCACTTAAGTATATTTGCCTAGCTGAGTTAAATGAAAACATCCTGGGTCTGACAGACATAACTGGTACTCTTTGAGGGTGGAGAGTGAGGCACATTCTTGTCCTCTGAGTCACCTAGAGGGTGATATGTACACACTCAACCACCCTCAGTCCCTGTGGAGTCCCAGTCATCTGAGGTGCCATCGTAGACTTGGCTCAATATTCTGTTGAGTCCTTCTTGGGATCAGTGCCTTGAATGTGTAAATGGCCAACTTGGTCCCCCTCCTGCTCTGCGGAGGGTCACAGACCCTCTTTCATCACCTTCTCTTTCCCTGCCAAGTGGTATTGACCAATTGTCCCCAGAGACCCTGGTTATCTTATTGCTGGGGTCACAAGAATGTGGAGGGACAGGTGGGCACAAATCTATTCTGAGAGTTCAGCATGGACAGTAGGCCAATCTCCATTTGGTCCACAAGGGGGAAAGGGGGAATGGGGATAGTAGAGCTTGCGTAGACTAGAGCAGAGGCCTAGGGGAGCTCTGCTATTCTTTCCCCCACTGAAGTACATTATGATTCCTTAAGTTATATAGCCATTGTGAATAGAACTACTGTATGTAATTGCATGCTATTATCAAGATATGTGTTTTCAAGGCAGTTGTTTTTATTTTTAGGATCATGTGGTGACACTATGTGTAACACTGGGAGGGAAAAACAAGGCCAGCTTTTTTATAGTGAATTGTATGCACTCCTCCAGCAATGCATGAGAGTGCCTGTGGCTGCTCATCCTCCTCATGGTGGATATTGCTCTTAAGAAAAGACCATAGCAGCTTAGTAGGTGTGCAGTGCATCTCTCACGGTTTTAGTTTGTGCTTTTCTCATGACAGGTGATGCTAAACATCATTTTTACCTCTTTGTTGTCTTGTATCTTTTCTGTGAGTTGTCTATTCAGATTTGTACCCACTGAGTTATGACTGAGTTTCCTATTATATGTTGGACACAAGTTTATTTAGACACATACTTTCCAAATGTTTTACCCAGTCTTTGACTTGTCTTTTAATTTTCTTCATATGATTATTTTTCAGAGAGTAGTTTTTATAAAGTCCACATTTCATTTTTTGTTTTATAAATTTATTTGGGGGCTGTATTTAAAACCTTATCATGAAACATGGTCATGCACATCTAGAATTTACTGTTTGATATTTCAAATATAAATCTATGTATGGAGTATTTTGACAGGTTCTGGAACCCAGATGTATATATTCTTGAAGTTTACCCTTTTGAAGTCAGTGCTAGCTATTCTAGGTTTAGAAACATCTTGTTTTTGGGAATTTTACTGGGACTGCAGTGAATCTGCAAATCAGTTTTCAGGTAATTTAATCATAACTATATTGAGATCTGAATATTGTATTTCAAGATTCTCTGAAAGTATGTAATTTAATATTTACATGTGCAAGTACTTCAATTGTGGAGCATATTTTAAATTTTTAAAGTTTTCATATTGCAGCTTTTAAATTCCACTGTTTTCTATTCATTATTTCTGACAAATAGGAAATCAGAGGAATTTTGCATGCACTTTACTTCTTGCCACCTCCATCCATTTGACCCAGACATATGATGGTGGATTCTGTTTCTTTTTGATCTCAAAAATCATGACCCAGAATTATCAGACTTATGGATTACAGAGCTTCAGTGTGACTGGCACCATGGGCACAGGGGCAGCTCTGAAGAATTGTACCCAATGTTATATGATGTCCCTGGAGGCCAGCAGGTGGTGCTTGGAGCAATGTTCTCTTGACTATGGTGGAACATCTGCTTTAGGAAACTTGTGTTCTCTGTTCTCTGTAAGCTTCCTTCTCCTTAGGAGCCACCCAGGGAGATTCCATGGCCTGGGAATTCCTAGAGGCAATGTCTACACTGATGATCAGAACTCCCTTTTCTTCAGGACGCACCTGGAAGTTGCCACAACTTGGGATGCCTGGGAGCTTTAAGGTAAGGAGCAGAGCTTTATTCTCCTTAGTACCTATCCATGGAGACACCACAGTGGATTCAGGATGACTGAGGTCTATGTGAGGAAACAATTAGGAAAATCTTACTGAGTACTGCCCAGCATGTGGAGGAAGAAGTTCTTCCACATTCTTTACTTTCTCAGGTTGCCGCAGTCTGGCTGGGCACAAATGCCGCAGTCTGGCTGGGCACACAATCACGAGCCACCACACAGCTTGTAGATTCAAACAGCAACTCTTTATTCCCGAACTCACACCAGCCGTCTACAAACACGTTCTGGGGAAATCCATGTTCTCTGCCCAAATCCACATCCACTGGGTTTCTATATCCCAAAAAATACTGTCTGAATCCCGTGAGAACTCAAGGGGAACTCAGGCAGCAGGATACGCCCTATTCCCAGCAGAAATAATCTTAAACCTTAAACCTGGAACCTAAACCGGGAATGCCCTAAACCCGATTATCTTAAACCTGGAACACCCTAATCCGCCTTGGTCCTTGAGCAAGGTCACCTACATTCAATGTCACTGCAACATGGGGTACGCTGGCAAGGAAATTGTCATACCTACTTGGCTAATGGCTCCCAGCATCTCCCCCCTTCTGATTAATTAAACAACAAGCAATGTGGCTTAAGGACCGTGCCTGGTAGGTTGTCCAATTCAACATATGGTTCTTACCCGTCATCGGAAAACTGACCTTTAGGCGTCAGCCTCCTGTCTTAGGTTGATACCACTGCAATTGAATCATACCCGTCACTGACTACTGGTCCAGCATACAGCCATACTTGTGGATAGGTCTATGCACCAGTGGAGGGGTGAGGTTCTTTGCCTCACCTCTGTTGGCCCCCAAATTTGGCCTTGGTGCCAGTGGGGGAGTGAGGTTAATGTGGCTTAAGGACCATGCCTGGTAGGTTGTCCAATTCAACATATGGTTCTTACCCGTCATCGGAAAACTGACCTTTAGGCGTCAGCCTCCTGTCTTAGGTTGATACCACTGCAATTGGATCATACCCGTCACTGACTACCGGTCCAGCATAAGCCATTGGCCCCCAAATTTTAGACCATCACTAGCAGAAGGGAGGAGGATACAGAAATGCCACGACACCAAGCCAATTGACGGCTCCTTGGGAAAAATTGCATCACTGGTGACACCATCAGCAAAGATATGTCAGCACTACCACAATTAACATGGGGTGCGCTGGCAAGGAAATAAAAATTGCATCACTGGTGACACCATCAGCAAAGATATGCCAGCATTACCACAATTCGCTGCACCAAACGATAGTTACATATTCCAGGCAAGTTCTGCAAGCAGTTCAAAGAGGAGGAATCTATCAATATGTCCATTTCCTCCCAAAATCCGTTTCCTCCCAAAGTAAGTTGACTCCTTGATTGAGCATTACTTGTTGAGTTATATTCACTGATGCATCAGTTTATACAGCTTACTGTGATAGCTATCATAGAAGCTGTAGTTTGGTTTTATCTTTGTCTTCACCGGCACTGGGATGAAGATAGAAATTTTGGCAATGATGCTAAAAAGACATTATCCTGAAAAGAATTATTAAATATAATGAAAAGGAAAGGTGAAAGTAAACAAACAGACCTGTTAACCTACTTTAAAAACAATCCTTAACAGCTTTTTACCTAATTTAAATTAAACCATTTAAATCACGTGAATAAAAAATAATAATAATAATAATTCAGATCCATTTTTTCATGAGCGCTCCTCATATAAGAAATATGGACATACGCACATATAGACATACAACACAAAACACACATGTGCACACAAATGTACAACACATAAGAAAATAGTAAAGGCCTTGTAGCTTTACCTAGGTGAAATCTCCATTGCAATGTTTAAAAACTCCACAGTCAAAAAATAAAACTGATCAGAAAAACATTAACCTAGGTTTGTATGAGCTCAAAAAATAAAAATAGAACCTTATGATGTGGAAAAATGCAATAATAAAATAGCTATTGAAAAAAGCATCCTGGTTAATCACTGTCGCAGATGTAAGATTGGCCAAGCTGGAGTTCTGGATATCAGCTGTTATGGATTTGAGTCAAATCATCTTCTTTTCCATCTGTAGAAATTGTTTTAGTTAATCTCTCTGGAATCCAAATTGGCTGCTGTTCTCCCTGTGGAAAAACACAAACAGAGCCCCGACTCCAGACAATCACTGGGTCAGGACCTTTCCATTGTCCTGTTAGAATATCTTTCCAAAGTACTTTAGGCTTATGTACATTTTTTGGATACATATGCCTTTCCGCAGCACTAAGTCCTGATGAATCCAAATTTAAAAAGTTTAGAGTAAAAAGCGTTATTTTAAGTTTATCTTTGGGGGATATATACTCCCTTCCAATTCCCTCTTTTTGCTTTAATAAGTATGTTTTAATAGTTTGATGAGCTCTTTCAACTATGCCTTGTCCCTGTGGATTGTATGGGATTCCTGTCATATGAGTAATACCAAATGATGAGGAAAATTGTTTAAAAGAGGTAGAGGTATAGCCAGGACCATTATCGGTTTTTAACTGTTTAGGAACGCCCACAGTGGCAAAATTTTGTAAGCAATGAGCTATAACATCTTTAGTTTTTTCTCCGGCATGAAGGGAGCCCATCAAAAATCCAGAAGAAGTATCAACTGTAACGTGTAAATATTTTAATTTTCCAAATTCTGGCAAGTGTGTGACATCCATCTGCCAAATATGGTTAGGTATCAGTCCTCTAGGATTGACTCCAAGATTAATTTGTGGTAAAAATGTCACACAATTTTGACATTGTTTTATTATATGTCTGGCTTGTTCCTTAGTTATTTTAAAATGCTTTTGTAAAGTATTAGCATTAACATGAAACCTTGTATGAAAATTTGTAGCTTCTTCAAATGTAGAGAAAATATGTATGTCATGTGTAGTTTTATCTGCTAAATCATTGCCTAAACTAAGGGCTCCAGGCAATCCTGTATGTGCCCTAATATGTCCTATAAAGAATGGATCTTTTCTGTCCCAGATTAGACTTTGTATAGTGGAAAACAAAGAGAAAACAGTAGAAGAAGGGGAAATCCTACCAGCATCTTCAAGAGATACTATAGCATTAACTACATACTGACTATCAGAAAATAAATTAAATACAGAATCTTTAAACATCAAAAAAGCTTGTTAAACTGCATTAAGCTCTACCTTTTGAGCTGATTGTTTGGGTACTAAAAATGTAAAAGTTTGATCAGGGGTAACTACTGCTGCTGTACCATTATTTGACCCATCAGTGAATATATTTGGAGCATTCATGATAGGTGTTTTTCTTGTCATTTTAGGAAAAACTACAGGATGCTTAGACCAAAAAGACAACAAAGGATTAGATGGTAAATGATTATCAAATGAAACATTAGATTTACACATGATTATTGCCCAAGTATTTAACTCATTAGCTAACTCATCAATTTGATCCATAGTATATGGAGTAATAATTTTATTGGGAGAAATTCCAAACACTCCCTTCGCTGCTTTTATTCCTTTGAGTATTAATTGTCCTACAGCCTCAGGATACCTATTAAGAATAGTGTTAGGAGAATAAGATAAATGTATCCACAATAATGGACCTTCTTGCCAAAATACTCCTGTAGGAATATTTTTTGTTGGTAGTACAATAAATAATAAAGGCAAACTTATATGAATTCTATCCAAATGCATATTTTCCATATATGTTTCAATAATTTTTAATGCCTTTCTTGCTTTAGGAGTTAACATGCGGGGTGAATTTGGATCTGATGGACCTTTTAGAATATCAAATAAAGGTCCCAACTCTCCTGTTGGTATACCTAGATAAGGCCTTATCCAATTTATGTCTCCCAATAACTTTTGAAAGTCGTTAAGTGATTTGAGTTGATCTACTCGTATTTGAATTTTTGGTGGACAGACCATGGTTGAGGATAATAGAACTCCTAAATAATTAATTGGAAAATTTAATTGTACTTTATCTATTGCTATCTCTAGATTATAATTTTTTAATAAGTTTGTAAGTGTGGCATAACATTCCAGCAATATGTTTTTATCTTTATGTGCCAATAATACATCATCCATATAGTGAAATATTTGTAGTTCAGGATTTTGATTTCTAAGTGGCTGGATTGCTTTGTTAACATATATTTGACACATAGTTGGACTGTTAGCCATCCCTTGAGGGAGTACTTTCCATTCATATCTCTGATCAGGACCTTCATGATTTAATGCAGGGATAGTAAATGCAAAACGTGAACTATCCTCGGGATGAATTGGAATTGAAAAAGAACAATCTTTAATATCTATAGCTAAAACATGCCAGGCTTTTGGCAAAGCAGACAATTGAGGAATCCCTGATTGAGCAGGTCCCATAATAACCATCTCATTATTAATGGCTCTTAAATCTTGCAATAATCTCCATTTACCAGATTTCTTTTTGATGACAAAAATGGGAGTATTATGGGGAGATATGGAAGGTTGTATATGTCTTTCCGCTAATTGTTGTTTGACCAGATCATGGGCTACTTGTGTCTTTTCTTTAGTCAGGGGCCACTGAGGAACCCACACTGGTCTTTCTGATTTCCAAGTAATTTTGATTGTCTCAGTGGCCCTTTCTGAAAATCCAACCCATGTCTGTCTGTTCCTTGATCTATTTGTATTGGTGCTGCTATACCTTGCTCTTGTTTTCCTAATCTTTTTTCTTTCCTAAAGCCTTGTCTAGCCCTAGTAGTGGGCGCATTAGGATTGATGTTATTTGTTAACGTCAAACCTAATTGATCTAGGACATCTCGTCCCCATAAATTTATAGGAAGATGATCCAATACATATGGCTATATAGTTCCTTCACATCCTTCAGGATCCTTCCAATCTAATATCATAGAACTTCTATGGGGATTAGTCGCCACTCCTAGGCCTTGAAGTGTTTGAGTGGCTTGTTGTAATGGCCAATGTTTTGGCCATTCTTGACGAGATATGATGCTAAGGTCAGCTCCTGTGTCCAGTAGCCCATTAAACTCATGACCTTGAATATTTAGTTTTAGCATTGGGCGAGAATCTAAATTTAAAGACAACATAGCCCAATCTACACCTGTGGAGCCTAATCCCCTGGAACCTCTTTCTACACTATGACTAGGAAATTTATTATGTAGGCTGGGTATTATTAACAACTGTGCTATTCTGTCTCCAGGTGAAATTACTGATATACCTCTTGGAGAACTAGCTATAATTTTTATTTCACCTACATAATCGGGATCAATTACCCCAGGACTTATCATAAGTCCTTTTAACGTAGATGAACTATGTCCCAATAATAAGCCTACTGTTCCTTGGGGAAGAGGTCCTTTTACTCCTGTGGGAATGATTTGAACTCCCATCTCTGGAGTTAATACTGCTCTGGCAGAGGCGCAGATGTCCAACCCTGTGCTCCCTCGGGTTTGTCTGATGAGGGATTTAAAGGACAATGTGTCCTGGGCACTACCCTGATGGTGTTGCTGGGTTCCTCCACTGCCCCGTAGATTTGTGGTTGTGGGCCCCGGGGCATTGGGCCCCCCTGTCCATTTTTTGGCAATGGAGCCTGATGCCTTTCTCCACGATATCATGGATAAATACCTGGTCTTTGTCCGTTTTTTGATAAGGGCGTACCCTCTATGGTGGTTTGAGAACGGCATTCATTAGCCCAATGTCTCCCTCTACGGCATCGTGGGCAAATACCCGGTATTCTATTCCTTTGATACCTACTTTTGTTAAACCCTCCTCCTATGGGGCAATTCCTTTTAAAATGTCCTGTTTGTTCACAATCATAGCATGTTTTTGGCCTGGCATCTAAAGCCTGTTGTACTGCAGCTGCCAAGACTTGCCCTTGTTCATTAATATCTCTACATAATTTAATATATGTGTTTAAATCTTCATGTCTCCATGGTCTAATAACCTCTCTGCAGCAACGATTTGCTTGGTCATAAGCCAGTTGTTTTATTAATGGCATTGCTTGTTCTGTATCCCCAAAAATTTTGGCAGCCGTTTGAATTAGCCTATCTACAAAGTCAGCGTAAGGTTCATTAGCTCTCTGTATTACCTTAGATAGCTGACCTTGTAAATCTCCATGTCCTTGTAAAGTCTTCCATGCCCTAACTGCGTCTGAAGCAATTTGTGCATATATAGCAGGATCATATTCAATTTGTTGCCGTTGACCCTCATAAGGTCCTTTTCCTAACAACATATCTAGATTTCTTTGAGGGTAACTGGCTGCTGCATTTCGCCTAGCTGTCTCCATGCAAAATTCCTCATTGGCAACCTTCCATAACAAATATTGTCCTCCATTTAGAACAGATTTACACATGCTAGCCCAATCTACTGGCGTCATGTCCAAGTTAGTAATGGACTCGACCATGCTTACCGTGAAGGGAGCTTGGGGACCATAGGTTGTTACAGCCTCCTTTAACTGCTTCACTGTTTTAAAATCTAAAGCATGGTGAATTCGCTGCCCTCCTGCCTGTTTTAGTACAGGGCATGCTAATCTTTGAGGTCCTGTCTCAGGATCCTATTTATCAACTACGGGGTTTGAGGGCCACTCAGCTGTCTCCATCGGTGGGGCTGTTGGTTGAATTATGCCCTCTTGTGATAAAACGGAGTTAGTAACAGCCTCCTGTTGTGGCCTTTTTCCTAACAAACCCTTTTCCTTTAAATTTTCTTCCTCTGTCTGACTAGCTCGAGAGACCTTCTCTTTTGCTTGATCTAAAATGTCTTTCTCCATGGTCTGAACCTCTAACAATTTACTTAACATCTTTTCGGTTTGTTTTTTACTAATTTCTAATCTACTATAAAGATAACACAACCCAATAAGATAACACAAAACAAAACCGAAACTGAATGAAACAAAAACGGAATAAAAAATCGTTGTATCAATTTTCTCTTCCTCAGGGCCGACAAACTTCAAACCTTTAGTCAACCATTTTTTCCAGTTTGCCTAAGAAATTTCTAGGGATAGGCAGCTTGAAACAAAAACAAGATAAATCAAAACAATAACACATTGTTTTTTGAATTGGTCACCCATTCTTTCGCTCTTCCTCAGGGGCGAGCAATTTCACTTACCTCCAAGCTTCAGAAGTTCCCCGTACGGGCCACCAAATGCCGCAGTCTGGCTGGGCACAAATGCCGCAGTCTGGCTGGGCACACAATCACGAGCCACCACACAGCTTGTAGATTCAAACAGCAACGCTTTATTCCCGAACTCACACCAGCCTTCTACAAACACGTTCTGGGGAAATCCATGTTCTCTGCCCAAATCCACATCCACTGGGCTTCTATATCCCAAAAAATACTGTCTGAATCCCGTGAGAACTCAAGGGGAACTCAGGCAGCAGGATACGCCCTATTCCCAGCAGGAATAATCTTAAACCTTAAACCTGGAACCTAAACCGGGAACGCCCTAAACCCGATTATCTTAAACCTGGAACACCCTAATCCGCCTTGGTCCTTGAGCAAGGTCACCTACATTCAATGTCACTGCAACATGGGGTACGCTGGCAAGGAAATTGTCATACCTACTTGGCTAATGGCTCCCAGCATCAGGTAATATTTTAGCAGCACTAATTTCACAGAAGTATTCCTTACTGAGACTTTGGCTGCTCATCATCATAGCATGTCACTGTGTTATGTGTGGATTGGATGTATTTCTGGAGACAAATACAAGGACACATAAAGGAGAAGTAGATGCCCCCTCAAGATGGTACAGGGAGGGCCCAGTGTCTGGAGTCTCACTGGAGCCTGAAGGGAAGGGCTAAGGGGAAGTTTACCTCATTGCATGCTCTTATTTATGTTTTGATGACTCATTTGTCTTATAGTGTTAAAGTATTTGAGAAATATTGAGAGATTAATGTGTTAAAATTCAAAATAACTTTAAGTTTAAATATTATATTTGTGTCTGTTAAAATAAGAATCAAGCAGGTGGGCTATAACTCTGTGGTAATGTTGTGTCTATTATGTGTAAGGATCTGGCTTCAATCCCAGGTACTACGAAAAGAAGCAAAACAAAGAAAGAAGCAAAACACAGACTTGGAAATTCAACAGCATAAATTAACTACTTTTGTTAATAAGTAGGAGGCAAGGAAAAAAGACTGAATATGTAGTAATCAAATACAATGGGTGCTCCTACTTTGAACATAAATTGTTTGTGCCTAACTACAAAATTATTTAAAATATCTGGAATAATCAGTATATTAATTGGGTATATCCTATTAAGGAATTATTCATGAGTATTTTCAATTATAGCTGTATTAAAGAATTCTTTCCATTACATGACTACAGTTTTTATTTTTTATTTGTTTTAGAAGGAACAGTGCTGGGGCTTCCTGGGTGAGTCTCTTCACAGTGGAGTGGACCTTTTGACAAGTTCTGGGGCCACCATGAAGGTGGCTGTGTGGGCAGTCTCTAGGCTACAGTACATATAATCTTCAGGGTATCAGGGTCAGTATGTGCCCTGCAGCTCCTATGGACCCTCAGGAAGGGTTGGATGGGGAAAATGCTGGGTTATGTTACCTAGAACTTTCAGGGGCTCATAGCTCCCAGGAGCCTACGTCATGAAAACTGCACAGGTGGAACAACCACTACTCAGAATTCATGAGGTTACTGGGCAGTTATGTGGCTTCAGTTTCCAGAGCACTCTGTGGAGAGTTCTTGACTGGGCAGGCAGTCCTTGGGATACACTACCCCAAATCCTCATGTACCATGGCAAGCACATGGCTTGAATCTCCCAGGAGCCACCCTGGTGAGTGCTGGGTAGCAGAATGATGGACTGCACTGCCCAGAGTTCTCAGGTGTGGCTGGTAAGAATGAGACAGAAAGCTCCCAAGAGGTTCTGAGATGAGGGCTGCAAAGCTTATGAGGGTCGTCACTACCCAGATCCTTTAGAACCTGCAGTTACCAGAGCACTCTGCAGTGAGGGCAGCATGGGCCAAATCTAAGACTGCACTATCTATAACCCTGGGGGACATGCAGCTTGTAGAGACCTATGCACTGAGGGATGTAAGGGCAGAGGACAAACTATGCTACTTGTAACCCTTGGGTGTCTACAGTACCCAGGAGCCTATGGGGCAAGGGCTACAAGTACCAGACTTCAAAGCTCAAATTCCTTGGGGATGCCTGTACCCTATAAACCTGTAATTTGTGATACTACATCATGTACAACAATAAAAATGTAAACTTGTGCTGCAATGTGTACAATGAATCAAAATGCATTCTGCTGTCATAAAATAAATAAATTAATAAAAAAAAAAACCCTGTAACTCCCAGAAGTTTCTGTGGTCAGTGATGCACTGGTAGAGCACACCACTTAGTATCTTCAGGGTACTAGAAAAAACATGGGATATGCAGCTCTGTGGTCTTCCTGGCATGGCTGTGCAGGCAAATACTGGACAACATGATCCACAATCCTCAGGGGTTACAACGAAAAATGCATTTCAATACCCCACAATGCTCAGGGGCTATGGTTTCCATAACCTTCTGTGGTGAGTGGACAAATAACTGCACTGCATTACCCACAACCTTAAAGGGAAATTTAGCTCCATGAATCTTCTGCAGTGAGTGAGCAAAACAATGGACTACACTACTCAACATTCTGGGGGCTATATCTTCTAGGGTCCTCTGCTATGAAACTCAGGACTGTGTTAACAACAAACCTTAGTACCGACAGTTCCCATGAGCCTTTATGGTGAGGACTGTAGGGCAGAGAATTTAACTGCACTATTAAGTATCCCTGGGGTGAGGTGCTGCCCAGGTGGGTGTGCAGCCTGCAACTCCCAGAGGCCCCCACAGTAATGGCATGTATGCTGAAAGTCAGACTACATTACTCATTAACCCTGGTGAATTTGAAGCCTGCAGTACCCAGACAGCCTGCAGTGAGGTTTGCAGTACCAAGGTAGATATGTGGCCTGCAGTTCTCATGGTCCTTCCAGCAGGTGCATGCAGAAAAAACACTGGAGTACTTTACTCATAGTAATCAGAGGACTGCTGTTCCTAGGACCCTCAGTGGTGAGGGCTACTGGATTGAGAAGTGAATTGCACTGCCCAGAATTCTTGGATGTGTCCAAGTACCTTGTAGCCTGCAGCACACCACAGTGAGGATGTGCAGGCAATCTCTGGGAGTTTCCACTTCCTATTGGATAGCTGCATGTGTGAGCTTCGACTTGCACTACCAGACTCCTCTCTGGTAGCCAGGAAGTCTTGTGGTATGTATATTTTGGGAGCCTTGATGGTGAGGTCCTCTTAGTTTGTATGGAATGCACTACCCATTATAATCAGTGGAATGCAGCTCTCCCAGAGAGCACTGAGGCCTTTATTGACACGAACTACACTACCAAGAATTCCTGGGAATCTGAAGATTCAGGGAGCCATTATAGTGTGGTCTGCATCAACATACCATCAGACTACATTTTCCAGAGTCCCTAGAAATGCCTGTGTGACTGGAGCCAGTATTTCAACAACCCCCTGCACTATGGATCTGTTATAGAATACTGGACTATACTGTCCAGAATCATGGGAGTATGTGCTATGGCAGCCCCCATTGTCTTCTGTAGTGATGGCTCTGTGGGTCTCTGTTCATCCATCTCTCCTTCTCCCTTGTGCCTCTCTGGGCCTGTGAGGAGGCATCCCTGTCTCCATCTCCCACTCAATCCCTCTCTGGCCTTGACTCTTTCTCTCTCTCTCTCTCTCTCTCTCTCTCTCTCTCTCTCTCTCTCTCTCTCTCATTCTCTATCTCTCTCTCACACACACACACAGAGACACACACTCACCCCTCTACACCCACCCCACCCCAGCCAACTCACTCTGGGCTGCAAGTCACCAGGTCCATGGGAGCCTCGAGACTGGGCGGTCACAGGTTGTCTCATCTCCCATCTAACTTCCCATGGATGTAAGAGAGTATTCACACATCACCCTTGAAGTGCACGCACGACTTCAGGCTGTGTGCTCAGCAGAGGCTGAGAGAAGGCCGAGGAGGCCACAGGGTCTTAGGAGTCTGCGCTGAGAGCCAAGCAAGAGAGCAGATGGCAAAAGAGGGCAGGCGCTCCTGAAAGAGGAGGAAGCAGCCTTCAGAGCAGGCAAGCGGTTCGGGGCCAGGGGGTTGCCATGGAGGACCAGGTGCCAAGAGGAGTTGAAGCCCGGCCGGTGGGGACAGGGAAGCAGAGGCCCCTTGGTCGCGGCGACCGGTCCACCTGCAGAGGACAGGACAAGACGCAGGGCCTGACGACCCGGTGGGCGCGTGTCCCCGCAACCACTGCTCCCCTCCCTCCCCCCTCTCCCCCCTGCAATGCTTGCAGGGGAGGGGGCTTTCCGTCTGGTGAGGCCGCCGGATAAGCTCCCACAGGGGTTTGAATCAGGGTGCTTCTCCCACAGTCGGTCCTTTCCTGGACACTGGACAGAGGGGTCTGTGCCCTTCCTCAGGGCGGTGCTGTGCGCGTGCTGGTCGTTGACTGGTACCAACAAGGCGCAGAGCCCTCCGACCTTGGCACTGGGTCCGAAGGGGGTGACTGCGGTGGCTTTGCAGGGTGGGCCCGAAACTCAGGGCGACGCACGACCCCAGCGGCGCACTTCTGAGCCTGGCCGGGCGACTGATTGACTGGGAGCCAGCGGGCCGCTGCCCCCCGGCCACCCTCTGCCCGGTTTTCCGTGAGTCCGTGAGTGTGTTCCTCCCTCCTGCCCTCCCTGTGCGTGGCTCCACGCGCCAGGCACGCGCAGGGGACGTGTGTGGCCGGTGGCTGGCCATTGCCCAGTCGGACTGCATTTCCGCCTGGGGCGTTGGGCCTCTGTCAGGGTCCCTGGAGTTTCCCACAGGGGTGCCCGCATGCCTCTCCGCCCCTGGCTCTCTGAGCTCCGGGCTAGGCTAGGCTAGGTTCGTGCGCGTGGGACACTGAAATGGCCAGGGCTTCTGGGTTCTCCGCCTGGCGAAAGTCGGGGTGGGCGTGGCGGTGGGGGGCCGGGGGTCCGTGGGGGGCGGTTGGGTCCCGGGAGGCCTGGGCCTTGGCGAGGAGCAGCGGAGGAGGCCAGGCCTCGCCAGGCCTCGCCCAGCCTGGGCGGGGCCGGGCGTGCCCTGTGGGCGCTTGGTGGGGCTCGCGGTAGGTGGAGCCAGGTGGAGAGGGGCGGTGTTGGAGGCGGGACTCAGCCAGTCCCAGTCTCCCAGGACCCCTGGGCCGCTGCCTGGTGGAGTCAGGTGGGAGCCTGAGAGCCCCCAGCCTTGAGTTGATTTGGGCTGGGCTGCGATCTTGTGGGGCGGGCGAGGGAGGCCCCCTGGGACCACCCCCTCCGATTTCCCACCTCCACCCCCCTCCCCTCCCCTGGACTGAAGGGTGGAACCCGGACCAGGCTCTTGAGGCGCCCCAGGGCGGCCCTCACCGTCTAAGGACATACCACCCTGAACGCGCCCGATCCCGTCTGATCTCGGAAGCTAAGCAGGGTCGGGCCTGGTTAGTACTCGGATGGGAGACCGCCTGGGAATACCGGGTGCTGTAGGCTTTTGCGCCCCCTTCCCACACACACTTTTAACTTGCGTGGCCCCGAGAGACAGGCCGTGACCCCCGGGCCCTCGTGCAGGGCGCAGGTGCATCCCTGGGCTGCCGGTCGCTGTCCCTTCAGGCCTGCGGCTGGCCTCCCGACGACCAGCGCCCAGCGCCTGCAGCAAAGCCCACAGGCCTGGCTCTCCCCAGGGACGCTGGGACACTCAGTCCATGAGACTCCGCTGAGCCGAGCCAGGTCCAGGCCACGACCCTCCCTGTGCACCCTGACCGACCCCCCCACCCCTCGGCCTGGAGGATGGGGTGTGGGGGGGTGGCGACACCCGCCTTCCCCAGAACACGGGGCCCACCCGCGGGGCCCGCTCCCTCACCCGTTCCTGCCACACAAGCAGAACCTTGCCACCCAGATCCTGGGAGTGGGAGAGTCCATCGAGCGTCTCTGGGTCCTTCTCTCTTTGCACCACCTCCGCAAGGTCCCTCCTGTGTCTACCTCCTTCCCCACCGCCTTCCTCCGTGAGGGTCTCCCTGAGTCTATCTCTCTGCCTGTCTCTCCCTTTCACTGTCATCGGAGCACCAGATGTCTCCGTGGGTCTCTGTTCATCCATCTCTCCTTCTCTCTTGTGCCTCTCTTGGCCTGTGAGGAGGCATCCCTGTCTCCATCTCCCACTCAATCCCTCTCTGGCCTTGACTCTTTTCTCTCGCGCTCTCTCTCTCTCTCTCTCTCTCTCTCTCTCTCTCTCTCTCTCTGTCTCTCTCTCATTCTCTATCTCTCTCTCTCACACACACACACAGAGA